ATGGCCAATAAACACATGAAAAGATGCTCAACACCACTAATCATTAGGGAAATGCAAATTAAAACCACAGTGAGAAGCTACTGCACACCCACTAAAATGGCTAAAAAGTCTGACAACACCAAGTGTTGCCAAGGATGAGCAGCAACTGGAATTCTCATACATTGCTGGTAGCAATGCAAATTGGACACCCACTTAGGAAACATTCGTCAGTTTCTCATAAAGTTAAAGAGACACCCACCTTACTCCCTGGTATTTAGGAGTAAATCCTACTCCTAGGTATTTACTCAAGAGAGATGAAAACCTATATCCCCACAAAGACTTGAACTCAGTGGTTCGCAGAAGCTTCATCTCTAATGAAATGACCCAATGCTCCCCAGGGGCTAAATGGGTAAACACGTGGTGAACCCACACAGAACACCTGTCAGTAACGAAAGGAATAACCACTGGTGCAGGCAACAGCATGGGCGAATTGCAAAGCTCCGTGCTGAGCGGAAGCAGCCACACTTAAAAGACTACGTACTGGGTAATTCTACAGATGTGAAATCCTAGCAAAAACAAAACTATGGTGACAGAAAGCAGATGAGTGGTTGCTATGGGTTGGGAATGGGGGAAGGAACTCATTGCAAAGGGACAAAAGGGAACACTGTGGCTGGCATCACAACTGAATGGGGGCCATATGGGCGGTATACACTGGTCAAAACTCATCAAACGGGGTGAATTTTGTTCTATGCAAGTCATACTTTGATAAAGCTCACTTAAAAACAACAACAAAGAAGGGCACACACACACACCAGAGAGTGAGCAAACGAGACAGTGACCAACAGGAAGGATTCCACACACGTGCGCACCTGCATGCACAAACACAGTCACACCCGTGCACGCACGCACGCACATACACACACCTTAGTCCTAAGAGGAAGAAAAGGCTGGGTGCAGTGGCTGATGCCTGTAATCCTAGCAGTTTGGGAGGCAGAGGCAGGAGGATCACTTGAGGCCAGGAGTTCAAGGCTGCAGTGAGCTTCGACCAGGCCACTGCGCTCCAGCCTGGGTAACAGAGCAAGACCTCATCTTTAAAAAAAAAAAAAAAAAAAAGCCTATAGAAAAAGGACATAAAGAAAGAAAATACTTTTGTCCAGCTGTAAAATGTATTTGTGTTTTAAGCTAAATGTTATTATAAAGTCAAAAAGTTAAAAAAATTAAAAGTTTATAAAGTAAAAAAGTTACAGTAAGCTAATGTTAATTTATTATTGAAGAAAGAAAAAAATATATTTTTAAATTTACTGTAGCCTAAGTTAAGTGCACAGTATTTATAGATAAAGTCTGCAGTGGTGCACAGTAACGTCTGAGGCCTTCACACTCCCCCTCCACTGGCTCGCTCACTCACCTGGAGCAACTTCCAGTCCTGCAAGCTCCACTCATGGTACATGCCCTACACAGGTACACCATTTTTTGTCTTTTATACTGTGTTTTTACTGTATCCTTTCCATATTTAGATATTTTTAGATACACAAATACTTCCCATTGTGTTAGAGCTGGCTGCAGTATTCAGTGCAGTAACACGCCGTACAGGTGTGTCGCCCAGGAGCAACAGCCTAGCCTGGGAGCGCAGCAGGCTGCATCTAGGTTTGTGTGAGGACACCCTATGATGTTCACGCAACCATGACATCGCCTAACGCCTTTCTCAGAACTGTGTCTTGAAAGCAGACAGAGAACTGAGGAAAAGTCACAGTGAAAGTGGTGGAGAGGTGGGGTCAGGCTCTGTTGCTGCAAGGGGAGCCCCGACTTAGGAGGCCTCCAAATGATGCCAGGCGGGTTCATAATGGGGTGCCTGTGGCAGGGGTGACCGGTGGCCCTCTGTGCCAGAGCAGGACACGGGCTTGTCTACAGCACACACGTGTCATTCATGTGCTCCGATACCTGACAGCAACATCCTGAGCAGGTAAACCGAGCTCACTCAGTACAGGCAGGAAGCAAAAATGAAAAATGCTTAACCACATCCGTAACCCAGGAAATGCAGACCACAAGCAGAGGGGTCCGCCATCACTCACGCACCGCCCTGGCCAAAAGGAAAAGTCTGGTGACAGCAAGTGTGGGCGAGGATGGGGTGGAACAGGAATGCACCCTCACAGCCTTGGAGAGCACACGTCAGCGATGCCCTGCGGCAGAGCACTGCGTGCCCAAGCCCTGCCATCCAGTAACTCTACTCCTGGGTACGGGTCCCACAGGAACTCCCACCCTTGAACGTCAGGAGAAACTTACACAAATGCTTATTGCAACATCACCTGTAACTGCGGAAGAGTATGAATAATCCAAATGTGTAGATTAGATAAATTATGGCATATTTACACAACAGCGTACTACATAGCAATCCGAACTGCAATAACTGAACAAGAGAAGCAAACCACAGAAAATACATCCTCTGTGACCCCTCACTGTAACAGGCAAAATGAAGCAACATACTGTTCAGATACAAACCCAGACGGCAAAATCATGAAGAAAAGGAAGGAGACAATTGTCTCAAAAGTTAGACTAGCAGCTAATTTCCAGGTAGAAGGGGGTGTTGGGAAGGGCTGTGACTAAGGAGGGGCAGCTGGGGGTGAAGGTTCCAGAGTGTTCTACGTTTTAACCTGGGTGGTGGTTACTTGAGCATTCACAGTATTAGCCTTTTCAACTTCTCTATGTTTTTGCAAAATAAAATACACGGACTCCATAAGCTTCCACCACCATCCAGCTCTTCTGAAGGAAAAGGCGGAAAGTGAAGGAAGTGCCCAGAGCAAAAGCATGCCAGGGAATCCCTGACCCTCCTCAACGTGACCTCAGCTGGCGGTCAGGGTCAACACCTACTGTGCCAAGGCGTGTGACAGTGCAGATCTGGACAGGATGGGATGAGAAGGGTCCTCACCCTCTGCCCTTTTCCTCCCAAAGCCAACACTCCAGGGTCTAATCATGAGAAAAACACCAGACAAACCCCAATGGAGCATCCGACAACACACCTGGCCAGTCCTCCAAGCTGCCCAGGCCACCAAAGATAAGGATAGTCTGCGACACAGTCACGAGGAGCCTAAGGAAACATGATGACTGTGTCATGTGGGATCCTGAGGAGATCCTGGGACAGAAAAGGGAAATCAAGGGGAAATGGGGAAACCTGAACAGCTCTGGTTAAGAACAACACACGGGCCAGGCGCAGTGGCTCCCGCCAGTAATCCCAGCACTCTGGGAGGCTGAGGCAGGAGGATCTCTTGAGCTCAGGAGTTTGAGGTTGCTGTGAGCTAGGCTGACGCCACGGCACTCTAGCCCGGGTGAAAGATACTGTCTCAAAAAAAAAAAAAAAAAGGAAAAACACATTAATCCTGGTTCATTAACTGTAGCCAACATAACATATGAATCTAACGTAAGACTTTAATCATAAAGGAAGCTAGGTGTGGAGTATATGGCAACTCTTTGTACTGCCTTTAAATTTTAAATCTGCTCAGAAATAAAATAAAGTTGAAGTACAGACATTTCCAATATAGGCAGAGATCACTTGCTGACAGCCAACGCACATGTAAGATTTTGAAAGGAATCTTTGAGGGTTTACGACAGGTGTGCATGCAAAATATTTGACATCAAAAGAAAAAGAAGTTTGGTCATTGGAATGATACCGTTGTAAGATTCTTGCATTATAAATGAAGTGGTAAATATCAAATCAAGCTAGACAGTGATAAAGTAAGGCTACATATTTTATTCCCTAAAGAATCCCCTAAAACTAACAAAAAGCAATGAAGCTAAAATGTCAGTAGGGGAGAGAGAATGGCACAATACCTGAGCCCCACAAAAGCCCTGCCTTTAGTAAAACTTTACATAAGAATAATGCATCAATATCGGTTAATTAATTGTAACAACGGACCACCCATGTCAGGTGTTAGGGGAAACTGAGTGCCAGGGGTGTATCAGAACCCTTTGTACTATCTGCTCAAATTTTCTGGAAATCTAGAACTGTTCTTTTTTTTACAAAGAAAAGAAGATAAAAGACAAAAGCAAACAAAAATGCTTTTCATAATATAAACAATCCCGGGAAGTAGTGGCACATGAGGACAAGCCTCTCTGCTCAGGGACCACAAGTCCCTTCCACGCTGCCCCTGCCCCCAACACATCCATCCATCATTCACTCCAAGGGCCCCGGCTGTAAATGGCAGGGAAGTGCAGGAGGCCCCTTCGCACATCCCAGCCCTATGCCCCCCGCCCTGCCACAGGCCAGCTCGGGGAGGCGAAGGAAAGAAACCCACGCCCCACCCAATTCTGGTGACGAAGAGCTTGCACACACCAAGGTGGTTCCCCCCGGACTCTAATTCTTTCCCCAAGAGGGAATACATAAAGCTGAGACCTCACAAAGCCTTCAACTAAAACGGTGATCACTGATCATCCGCTCACGCACGCACGCACTCGTCCATCTGGCATGGCCTTAGGAAAAGCTGGTGTTCTAGAAAGGGATGCTCAGACCCACCCAGGCCTGTGCCAGCCCCCCAGTTACGCTGAGACCCTGGGACGGAAGGTCTCCAGGCAGCTGTCTCTGGAACACGAAGTCCCCCAGGGCCACTGCCTCACAAAAACCCCTTTGCCTTTCTAACTCTTTGACCTTAAAATTGTCACAACAGCAACCACAAGTGCTGCTTCCTCTGTGTTACGAGGGGGAAGCACAGTTTAAAAACATGAAACAACTATATTAAAAATATGTTTAGCTATGTTAACAACTGCACACACCAAACTTTACATGGACATGTGCTAAAATCTTACTAGCAATTATGTTTGGATGATGGATGATTTTAATTTTCTTTTCTGCTCACCTATGTCTTCCAAATTTTCTATAATGAATGAGTGCGACTTTGGCAGTAAATTAAAACCAGAGCCCTCCTAACAGCAAAGACGGCACGTCAGCGGGAGCCCAGAGACGTAACCAGAGGCAGGTGCCGTCTCCTCTGCGAGCCCTGGACTGCCACACGCCTGGACGCGAGAGGCGGTACCTGGATGGTGATGGTGCCTTTCTCAGAGTCGGTCTGCAAGTGAATCTCCATTTCTGGCAGAGTCTGGCCGTCAGACACCAGCTTATGACGCAGTTTTTCCAAAGCATCGCTAGCATTGGAGATCAGCTCCCGTATAAACACCTGTAGGAACAGAAATGAGAGGCATGGAGGACAAAGGAGCCCCACTCCGCATTTGTAACAACTGTTAAAGTCCAAGAATTGCCACCAAACACTAATTCTCTAAACATAAAGATTTTCTGCTTTAGTCGAAGGCAGTTCCTCTGGGCAGGTCATAAAGTCACTGATGGTGTATCACTTCTCCCCACATGGCTTTCCCTAGCAAGCTACTACTCTTTCCCTTCAGGATGCTCCCTCAAGTTGTATCCATTTGTTAACTGAAACTTTAACAAGAACCTCCAAGGGACCACTCGGTTCCCTACTCTTGCACAGGGATAACAACACACACCAGACATCTGTTTCTCCTGCTCTGCGGAAACAGACTTGCTGGCTTCGCTTCAGCTAGCCAGGACCAGCGAACACCAGACCTGCCACATCGCAGAGAAAAAGGGCCACAGGGCTCAACCGCAACTGTCCTCTCAGGACCTGAAAAGCACCTTGACAGAGCTTCTAGTTAAAGTGAGTGACGGCACCCAAGTGGGAGTAAGTGGGTGACCTTCCCAGCGGAAAGCGTTGGGATCCAGAAATATAGCACGTAACAGTACAACACCTGGAAATATTTCCTGAAAAGTCTCTCTGAACTCTGTAATATTGTGCTTTACCCTTCTTCAGAATTCCCCTTTGCATTTCTAGCAACAATCAGCGTGTAAATGATGATGGTCTGATTGCTCTCCAGTTTTCCATGTCCTATCACCTCTGAGTTTTAATTGTCTCAGAAAGCTCCGTATAACCCTCCCTGCTCTACACACACAGGACCAGGGAACCTTCTTCCTCCAGCCACTGACGCCCCCAACTAGACCTGCAAGTGGTCACACAAGACAAAGGGGAAGACACAGGGGCCTTGGGTACTTCGACAGCTCTGCAGAAATGGATCTCAGCAGAGCCCCGCGCCAGTATTTGGGGACTTCTGCAATTATTGGCAAAATTCAGTTAATTCCCAGAGTCCATCTGGCCCAAAGAATCATCTGGATACACTTATCCACAAAACCCAAAACAGATTTTGGTAGAAAATACTCTCACTGGATGCTTAAGATGGGGACCTGTCCAAAGTCTAATGCATTCTCACAGCTAATACATTGTCTGGCATTTCCCCAGAATGGCATAAAATTAGTTTTGCCAAAAGAAACCCTACCAGCACTGGTGGCAATTAACAGGTAGCGTACCTCTTTCTCTGAGTATAAGGAACGGGCAACAATGTCCAAAAGCTTCTTTGTCTCAGCCTGGAACTCGTGTTTGGAAACGGAACCTAGTAATGAATCACAGACGTGGCCAATAAAATTCAGTTTCTATTTCTGCAGAAGAACATGCTACGTAACATTCAAAAGAATGTTTAAGGTTATGCGTTTTAAACATTTTTTAAAAGAACGAACAAAAAGAAAGAAGGGGACAGAAATGATCTCTCTCAGGTAAGGAGGTCTCAGGGGCAGAACAAATGGAGCAGCTCCTCTCTCCACAGAAAGGGGCGCACGTGAAACAAACGCTCCCACTGCTAAGGCCAGATGCACCTCGGGTCACCTCTGGGGGGCCCTGGAGGTGGACTTCCCTAAGGACTCAGGCATGAGAATGGGCTGGCTCTCACCAGAACCCGGATTGTGTTCTTTAAAAAAGCGGTTTCCACATTAATTATTCAAAAAGCAAAATAACAAGAAAACCTCATTTCTCTTAACTCAACTTCAAAGATTCTGTTCTTGTCGCCTCACTTAAAAGCCAGAAACAGAACCACTTCAGGAACTGGCTCTGAAGGCTGCTCTTCTATCTTCCCGGGGGAGGCAGGAAGACGACTTGAGGATTCAGTGCTGCAAGAGCTGGGCCAACACCGAGCTTGCGTCCAGCCTCCTGATTGTTAGCAGATGTGCAGTGAATCACCAGAGAAGGTGCCACATGGCGAATTCATGGGCGACCACCAGAGGGGGCAGCACACCCTGGGATAAAGAGGGAGGCCCTCGCCGGGACAGAAATAGAGGATACGTGACTCAGGGCAACGCTCCCTGAGACCCAACTCCTGCAGCGAGCAGGCGGCTCCATCAGTCAACACCTCCACCTCAGAAGAACCTCCCCTTACAAGCCAGCAATGAACCAAGACAGACGTCCCAGACCCACTGTGGCCAAACACACTACCCTGCACGGTCTCGGTGCTGCTTATGATGGAATGCAAGGCCTCCGCCTTGTCCTCCGCCGCTTGCGTGCTGTACGGCTGCGCGGCGCCAATGCACAAGGCCAGGCTTCGCCTGAGGCTCCCCAACTGGACTGTGGTCCTCCGAGGACACAGGACCCGTTTTCCTGGAAGGACAAACATGCAGAAAGAACGAGCATTAGAAAGATGTTGGACACAGAATATCGCACTCCTCACAACTAGTCTGTCCAGCCGTGTGGATTCCTCTACGTCAGGCTGTTGCTCAAAAGAGAAATGACAAATGACTGCACATCGTACAGCTGCTGCTGTGTCAGGGTGTGGCTTTGGCAACCTGCCGTCACACGCCACACGCTTCACATCATCGTAAGATGCTGGGGCTCATCGGAGCCTCAGGGGCAAAGCTGCAGGGGTGGGCAGGTGCCTTCTGACGCCACGTCCCACATCCGCCCCCAGGTGAGATCAGCGCACGGGCGCTAGTCAGACGTTCATTACATGATGGCTTCAAGGACACACTGTCAGCCAGGAGGACATCCAGACCTAAAGGAACCACATCTGCCTGTGAAGTGCTATTCTTCCTTGAAAATCTGTAACATACAAGAAGGAGTGATGTAGAATGTCCAGAAATAGGTTGAAGGTTTTAAAAATTAACATATCAGTGGGGCGTGGTGGTTCACTCCTGTAATCCTAGCACTCTGGGAGGCCGAGGTCAGGAGTTCGGGACCAGCCTGAGCAAGAGCGAGACCCGTATTCTAGTATAAATAGAAAGAAATTAGCCAAACAATTAAAAATAGAAAAAATTAGCCAGGTGTGGTGGCATGCGCCTATAGTCCCAGCTACTTGGGAGGCTGAGGCAGTAGGATCGCTTGAGCCCAGGAGTGTTAGGTTGCTATGGCTAGGCTGACACCACAGCACTCTAGCCCGGGCAACGGAGTGAGACTCTGTCTCAAAAAAAAAAAAAAAAAAAAAAACACATCTTAGAGACCCTTCCATATTAGTACATATACAACTGCTTATTCTTTTTAATGAACATACAGAATTCCGAGGTAATGGATAAGTACTTAGTGCCCAATGGGTAGATGTTTAAACTATTTTTAGTCTTTTGTCATTAAAAATAAAGCTACTGGGTGGGCGCAGTGGCTCAGGCCTGTAGTCCCAGCACCGTGGCACTCTAGCCTAGGTGACAGAGCGAGACCATGTCTCAAAAATAGTAATAACAATACTGCTCCTAAGTGCTAGAGTTATCTATCATATGCTATCCTTCAGGGAAGAGAAGAGGATAAGGGAAAATATCCATGTTTCTGCTCATTTGTGCAAAAGAAACATAGGAAGGAAAACCCAGAAACTAAGGAGACCGTGTGTTCATTTCCTAGGGCTGCTAGAACAAAGAACCACTAACTGCGTGACTTGAAACAACAGAAAGTTCTGGAGGCCAGAGGTCCGTAATCAAGGTGCAAGCAGGGTTGGCTCCTCCTGAGGTTGCAGGCGAGGATCCATTCCAGCCTCTCTCCAGCTTCCGTAGCCTCGGGCATTGCTTGGCTTGTGTGTCTTCACTACACAACATCTTCCCTCTGCGTGTCTGTGTTCAAATTTCCCCATTTTATAAAGACACAGTCACGCTGGCATAGGGGTAACCCTAATCATCTCATCTTCACTTGATCATCTGCAAAGACCTCATTTCCAAATAAGGTCACATTCACAAGTAGTAGAGTTGGGGCTTCATCTTTTGGGGGGACACAATTCAAATCCCCACAGGTGTGTGTCAACAGAATGGTAAGAACAGGGATATGGGACAGGGTAGCAGAGCGAGAGGAACATGACATTTCTGAGAATATCTTTTTTTTTTTTTTTGGTGAGACAGAGTCTCGCTTCGTTGCCTGGGCTAGAGTGCCATGGCGTTAGCTTAGCTCACAGCAACCTCAAACTCCCGGGCTCACGTGATCCTCCTGCCTCAGCCTCCCAAGTAGCCGGGACTATAGGCGCGAGCCACCACACCCAGCAAATTTTTTCTATTTTTGGTAGAGATGAGGTCTCACTCTTGCTCAGGCTGGTCTCGAACTCCTGACCTCAAGCAATCCTCCCACCTCAACCTCCCAGAGTGCTAGGATTATAGGCATGGGCCACCGCACCCAGCATGAGTGTATCTTTTTGGGTATCTCTGCCCCTTAGAACCATGCTAATGTTTCTCACACCCCAAAAGTAAACCAATGAAACCAAGCAGGGTGTGCAGGAACACAAAAGAAAACACAAACAGTAGCAAATGTG